ACCGGGAGGGGGGGGGGGGGGACCGGGGCCTCCTTCAGGAGCCCTTGGGAGCTCCGTGGGGGGAAATCCATTTTTGGGTTTTTTCTTAGTAGAAATAAGAAAGCCACTGAGGCGAAAAGGACTTGGGGGGGGGGAGTTGGGGGCGGTCCATGCTGCCTCCTCGGGCCCTCCCCCGCTGTCACATGACATCCGTCGCTGCCTGTGACCGCAGTCAGGGAGCAGCAGCCTTGGAGACGAGGGAAGCGGCGCAGGGCAGGGGACCCCGCAGGCACGGGGAGGAGGAGGTGGTGGGTGCCCGCACCTCACGGGTGTGCTCCGCGCCCCAGGTGAGAGCGACATGCTGCACTTCACCTCCACCAACACCTGGAAGAACCGCATCATCGTCACGTGGCACCGGTACCGGCCCCCAGACTACAGGGACCTCATCAGCTTCACCGTCTACTACAAGGAAGCGTGAGTCCTGCCGGCGTCCCGTCCTGGGGGCGGGGGCGGGGGGGGGGTCCCTGCTTCCTCCGCTGTCACCTGACGTCTCTCACTGCCAGTGGCAGCCACACGTGGGAAGGCACTGGCTTCTGGGGGTGGAGGCGTTTGAATAAAATAAATGCAAAGGAGCCCAGCCCGCGTGGCCCAGGGTTTGAGCATCAAGCTAGGAACCAGGAGGTCATAGTTCAATTCCCGGTCAGGGCACATGCCCGGGTTTCGGGCTCCATCCCCAGTAGGGGGCGTGCAGGTGGCAGCCGATCCATGATTCCCTCTCATCATGGATGTTTCTGTCTCTCTCCCTCTCCCTTCCTCTCTCTGAAATCAATACCAATATATTTTTTTTAAAAAGAAAGGGGTTTTAAATAATAATAATAAAATAAGATAAGTAGGTAGATAAACATAAACAAAATAACAATAGAGCAGGGAGGGTTTCTGAGAGGCTGGGTCGGTGGGAACCCAGGGCGGCCCTGAGCCACCCGCTTGCTCGCCCGTCTCCAGGCCCTACAAGAACGTCACCGAGTACGACGGCCAGGACGCCTGCGGCTCCAACAGCTGGAACATGGTGGACGTGGACCTGCCGGCCAACAAGGACATGGAGCCCGGCATCCTGCTGCACGGCCTGAAGCCCTGGACGCAGTACGCCATCTACGTGAAGGCCGTGACGCTGACCATGGTGGACAACGACCACATCCGCGGGGCCAAGAGCGACATCCTCTACCTCCGCACCAACGCCTCAGGTACCGCGTGGCCGCCGCCTCGGTCCTCCGCACGCGCTCTCTCCTCTCCCTCCCTCCCTCTCTCCCTCCCTCCCTCCCTTCCTCTCTCCATCCCTTCCTCCCTCTCTCCCTCGACACTCTCTCTCTCCATCCCTCTTTCTCACACT